CGGGTTTGGAACGACATGGGGGTAAGTGATTAATGACAACATTTTTAATTTGGGGTGGAGTATCCCTTTAATAGGCTTTTTTGACTTGGACTGTAACCACCTAGCAACGAACATCCAAGCAATAGCCTAGCTATTCCATATAGAGGTCTTCTAGAAAGTGTTACGAAATATACTTTTTGGTTGGAATATCTAAAAGGTTTCAGTTTCCACGTAGAGAACTCTGAATTGTTTAAATAGGTTCTGGAGTGCTGGGAGCAAAAGATTACATCACAGCAACACGCTACCATGCACTTCACTCTAATTAGAGTGAGTTAATGAAGAACCAGATAGGGTAACAAGGACACACATTACCACACTTGCATATGCGAGTACACACACGTCCATTGTCGACGTTTGCATGCAGCAAATGCAGGGAATAATACTAACAAGCCTGAATAGGGAACACAATATATGAAGCATACATGTTTGTGGTGTTCTGTATAGTCCGGTGAAGGCAGGTTTCATTTGTAAGGGTGCATCTGACCTGACAGACACGGAGAACTCTCCCGGTGTGCTCTCGCTCTCCCTAATGAGAAACGCTCCACACTCCAGCGGTCTCAGACGCTTTTCTGCTGCCTGCCGTGAAATTCCGCCCACAAACCACCTGCAAAGTACAAGCGCAGCTGCCAGTTCAACATCATATTGTATATTTATGGATTGAAAGGGGACTACTGGTACAGTACACTTTAAAAATGATTCTTTCATCAAGTAAATAATCTATCTAAATTTAACAATTTTCACTCAGAAATTGCTAGTAAAGCTAGTAACACATTGAATTAAATGTGAAATTCTGAAGTCTGAAATAGTATTTTCTCATCAAAAAAATATCTACAATAATATTGTATATGACTACCTTGAAAAAGAACTTTTTAAAGTGCATGATTGTAGTACAGCTTTCACGAGCAGCATCTTGATGCAGCATTTCTATGTTTGAAGTCAAACCAGCAAGTACAAAATCTTAATGCTTTGTTGTTGTTCAAATAGGTTCAAATTGATTTGTGGTTTAGTCCCAGTCTGTCTATTCCCAGCATGCACCAGGGCATGAATAATTAACATGGTTGCATTGTTTGACCATTTGCCAGTTATATTTACTTTGTTGTTGCTGATTTTGTTGTCACATTTATTATCTTGTGATGTCAGGATACGTTTATTCCTCTGGTAAAAAGGCTAGTTGGTTGTTTTTCGTGTCTGTTTCATGTGTTGAGGTTTACAATATGTGACTTTTTAAAGTATTTTGTGTGGGTTTTTTTTTGTCTCAAGCACTTTCCATGTACATTTAGAAAAAGCACATAATACTGAATAATTTAAAATCACATAAATAAAGGGAATAATCTGCTCTTGATTTGATCTAAAAAGGCCACTATTAAATATACATTTATGCATGTGGGGTGTAATCTTTTACATTGCATTTAAGATGTATATTTTATCAGTTCATACATTCCCTGGGAACTCAATATGAGCCTGGTATTGCTTGTGCTATGATCTAATGTTTTAGCTACAGAAATGCCAAAATATTATTATAATAGCTGCAAATTCTGCAACTTTAATACATATATATTTGATCAAAATTGCTTAAAAAATGGTTTTAACCTGTGCATTATATGCATTGTTTTTTTCCCCTTTTGTATCACTGGATATTTTCAGATTTTTAGAAATACAAGTGCCTGCATGATATAGAGTGAAATGACATGTTTAATTGCGTGACAACATTCTGCCATCTTATACTTAATAAGTAGCTTCAACTGCATTTATCATAAGCCGTGATTGATCTCATTCAGTCCACTCTTTTTATCATGATCGTGATTTTTAACTGACTAATTCGTTTATTTCAGAATGACTGGTAGGTTCTCAGTCATAAACTGCTATGTTCAGGTCAAGCTACAGCATGTTTGTTGGGGTTTGGTCTGGGCTTTGACTTTTACCTATCCTCAATGCCTCACAAGTTTCTCAATCTTTCATGTTATGGTAAAACTGCAAGGTAAGGAAGTCCTTACCTAGCACATGTCCTTCCCAAGCAGTTTCAGTCCTAGTCACACCATCGGGAAGTCCACACCCACAGCAATGGGTGTCATGAAATGCTGGGAAATCCCTACATTTGTATTTCAGAAGAAGATTCTTCTTCAAAAATCTTTTCTTTTTTTTTTCTAGTCTGACACAGATTAATTCTTCAACACATTTAATTCTAAACCCAACCCTAAACTTGCTCCAATTATAACCATGGAGAAAGCAACACTTATCAAATACTTTGTGGGCCACTAGAGATATCAGCACTACAAATAAAGTAAAAGTGAAAGTATAACATGAATTGATTTTGGAAATGTCCTAGTTTCCAACTGAGTCAGTGTCTCTGCATAAAACATCACAATAACAGACTCTGAAAAAAAATATGACTAGACTGTCTCCACTTAAAGTGTTTTATTATCATATGGCGAGAACAATACCATTTCCTTTTAAAGACTGTAAAATTTTCTCAAAACATTGAGACGCACCACGTGAATAATTTGCATACATTTCCAGAACAGAAGTCTAAACAATGGACAAAGCCATTTTCAAAATTCTTGTTTAATTGTGTTGACATATTAAAGTTAAAGGTTTTTTACAGAAGCATATATCTTGGATATCTCTTTATATCACTCCATAAATACTGTAAAAACAGCTAGAAAACATGTTTTTATAAATAAAATGTTGTGATATATAAACACCATATAACCTCATTTTGAGAAAATGGCCTGTAAAGATATGTACTGTAATAGATAAAGTGCAATAAAACTTAGAAGTGCATTTTGTATTATTTCTTTCCACCAACAAAACTAACTTGTCTGAAACAACACGTTATGAAAAGCCACAAAATTGACCAGTGCATTAAAAAACAATGTTTTTGCCTGAAGTGTCTTGCCTCAACGAATTCTGCCTGGTCATTCACAGATAAAACCACATGCTACATTAGATTCATTTTTGTCATGTGATACTTACGTGTGAGGTCTTACATTGATATAGTTCTTCGGTACATAGCCCCGCCTACCAAACAGCTCAGCCGTGTACCAGTTCGGATCATCATCCATGTTTGTCACCTAAAATAAACATAAGACCAGTATTCAGATGTCCACTATCAGCTTAGGTTAGATATTTTTTCTCCGTATTTAAGAATAGACTAGGCCAGGGTTTCCAAAACTATGGTTCATGAATCACTGGGATTTTGTTAAAAATAAAGAAAATCTAAAAATGAAATCTTTAAAAAGTAAAATTAATTAATATTTTGACATTTATATCTTTTTTTAATATTTATTTTGAAACTATACCAAAGAAGGGTAATCGAGTTTTCTGCATATGCTTTTCAGAAATTGCTTTGGAAGTATATTTTGAATTTAATAAAAAAAATAATAAAAAAAAAAGATTTACATTTCTAACTTTACCATTTGCTTAGGTAGCGTACATTTAAAAGACTTTTCAAGTATCCATATACATATTATGTATGCAATTCCCCAGATAACATAATTTGGTAATCAAAACAAAAAAGCAGCTTGCAAACCAATGCAAATTACACATAAACAAATAAAGGACTATGGTAGTGTTTTACTGCCTTCACTGTATACGTTTTTTGGAATACAGTTTTCCTAATAGATATGTAATTTATAAAGGAGCCTGTAAAGATATCTTCACACAAGAATTACCTTGTACCGTACCATCCCACAAGCTGCCCAGCTACATATATCACTACCTATTCACACAGATATCCATTCTGAAATACATGCTAAGACTGAGTGCACACACTCCCACCAAACTGACTCACTGATCTAGTATTTTCTGTAAACGTGCAGCAGACTAGCATCCATATAGTTTCATCCAAGTGTGCCACATACCCACAGTAAACTACTGCACACATACACACACACACACACACACACACACACACACACACACAGACTCACCTTCAAGATGTCACCCTTCTGGAAACTGAGCTCATCACATTCAGTCGCCCTGAAACTGTAAAGTGCCTCAGCCTCCATTGAAGAAAGAACATAAAAACAAAAGAACAGACAGGCAGTGAAGTGGAGATGAGACCGGGATGAAAACAACAAAGAGTTCAGAGAGAAAGGGATGGGAAAGGACAAGTGCAAATGGCAATAGATGAAATGGTAGAGAAGGTGATTAAAAAGGATGGAGTATGGAGATGTATAATGGAGATGGTGAATGAGACGGATAATTTGTAGAATGATGAGTAGCCTTCAGCGCAGAAAAACTGGAGCAACAAAAAGACTGAGTGGAAAACTGAGGAAGCACAATGATGATAGAGAATCTGAGAGAAAATGTGTGTCTGCCGTAGTACAGCTGTGCACTGTGGGAATGGAGGAGGATGGAGAGAGAGAAGAGAGAAAGAGAGCGAGAGAGGGAAGTGAGAAACAGAGAATTAAAGTGGGCAGGAAACTAATGTCCAAATCAGAATATCACACGCTTTCCATTTAATTTCTCAACTATATAATGTAAACTACAACAAAAAAAGTGACCACACTTTGTTTCTTGACTTGTTTCTTGTCTTCGCTTATGTTCCAATGCTTTTGATAATAGATTTGTAGACAAACAATGTATGTACATCCGCATATATGTGACTCTTTATGAATACTGTGTATAAATTTATTTTAAAATATATACATGATATATAATAAATTATATATAAATAATATATAAATTTTAGTGCTGTCAAATGATTAATCGCGATTAATCACATCCAAAATAAAAGTTTTGTTTACATAATATATGTGTGTACTGTGTATATTTATTATGTATTATAAATACATACACAAGCATATATATATTTAAGAAAAATATGTTAAGTTTATACATTTAAAATATTGATATATAATATCAATTATATTAATATAAATATATACATGGAAATACGTGGAAATATTTTCAAAATATATACTGTATGTGTGTGCATTTATATATACATAATAAATATACACAGTACACACACATATATTATGTAAACAAAAAATTTTATTTTGGATGCGGTTAATCGCGGTTAATCGTTTGACAGCACTAATAAATTGATAATAAAATGTACTCAGACAATTTTTTACATTTATATTTTAAATATAGATTTTTTTTTTATTATTTTAAAACATTTTTAAAACTATTGGTTGATTAATTGGTTTTTGGCCAGCGTGGTCCAACCTAGTTACTGTTGTTGGTAAAATCCACTATCGGTAAACCTCTAATATACAGTATAAGCTGAAAATGTATGGGTTGCAAAGAAGTTCAAATAAGAGAGTTTTGATTTATGTTTTTGTGGTTACTTCCATTTGTGTTGCTGAAATATTCTAAACAGTGTATTTACAATATATTATTTTATTGTATGGTGTATTTTTATGCAAAAAATTAAATCATAAATCTTGTTGGAGGGGGCACATGTTTGATACCCTCTGGCAGTTTTCTGTTTGAACCTACAACATGACCCTTATTAAGAGCGCTTGCTGCAGCTGTGCATGTGTTTGATTGTTATGCATGCTGGTCACGTCCTCGCTGATTCAGATGACATGACATTTAATAAGTGCACATGGTCACACAATATCTCATTTCTCCCTAGCTGCCCTCTTAGCGCAGCTTGATTAACTCGTTTTATGGCATTTCAGAACCATATAGCTTAAACATGAGACTGAACTGAATATTTAATTTCTTATTTGTGCATGTTTGCATGGAGATGATTTCAATGTTCTGTATCTGACAGCTGACAGTTAGTTGGCATCTCTAAGAACATGTGCTGGTGGCAGCATCCCCCCCCAGCCCCCACCACACACACAAACATGTAAGAAACTGTCATAGTGCCTTTCAGTGCTCACAATGAGAACTTATATGGATGATAGCTGCGAGCCGGTGAGTACAGAAACAACATTTCAAGGTAAAAAAAAAAAAAGTGCCAGTGCATAGAATACTGATATTATTTTGTATTCCAGATGTGCAAAGAATATTTATCCCTTATGGAAATTTAATATAATAACACTAAATGCATTTGGTATGGTGGTAACAGTGAGGATTCATAGGCAAGAAGATAAAAGTTCATATAAACCTAGCAGTTTTAATTGCAAATAGGCTACCATACTGTAGTTTGAGCAATTTCTAAAGTAATAGTAGACCTGTCAGAATTTTCTATTTATCATATTTTCAATGCAAATGATAATTATTTAGTTCTCTTTACACTTTACCCAATTTAATAAAGGGGTCATTGGATGCCCATTTTCCACAAGTTGATATGATTCTTTAGGGTCTTAATGAAAAGTCTGTAACATAGTTTGGTTAAAATTTCTCAATGGTAGTGTAAAAACACCTTTTTTACCCTGTCAAAAGCCGTTCTGTAGCAATTTCCTTTAAATGTTAATGAGCTCTGCTGACCCCGCCCCTCTCTTCCGAGCCCGCTCTCTGAGGGACTGTTTACTTTAGCTGCATTCCTCATGAAACTTGCTAATTAGCACATTGTTAGGAAAGGCGATTTGCAAAGATTCATTTAAAAACCTTATACTCACTTCTTCTGTAGGTGAAGCTGGATCACGAATGATTCGCGTGAACATAGACACATTTAGGTAGATCGTGGGCGCATTCCTTTCAAAAACAAACGTACATTTTTATCATTATAGGGTGGTTGTGTACACACACTGCCAACACACATTTCAGTTCAAACAACTTGTAAAAGTGCATGTAGCATCCTGTGACCCCTTTACAACAAAGTCAGCTTTCCATTACATAATGAAGATCTTTTTACTGAATATAATTTTTCAGTTTAAATACATAGTTGATTCAGGTATTACTCAGTAATTCTTGAGGTCATTCATATGAATAACCATGATTTAAATTTCATGAACCTTGCTTCATTTTGAGACAGACGTCACTGAAGTAACGATAGCTTGCAATTAAGAACAAGACTGGGATCTTATATTCAGATTGCAGCTATTCAGATGTATTCCTGATTTCTCTCAACATGGGGACAGGAGAGCTGTCGGTCAATAAATGGGAAAACAAAGTAACTGGCATTACTTATTTGAAAGAGTATAACTAAGATATTTCCTTGTAAATGAAAAAGTAATGCGTTACTTCACAAGTTACTTGAAAAAAGTAATCTAATTGTAATCTAAAAGTAACCTGCGTTACTTGTAATGTGTTACCCCCAACACTGTCAATGACTGACTTATAAAGATGCTTGTTTTGTTCCTGAATAAATCAGTTTTGAACGAATCGGTTGATTGAATGATTCTCTCATAATAAAGACAGTCACTTGTTGCCACCTACTGGTGCAACGATGTAATCTGCAGAAGGTTTCACAGGAAAATCCCACAGACTAAAAGCCTGTCTAGAAAGCTCAAACAAAAACTCTTGTACTGTTTTAAAACCTATCATAAGTACAGACAAAAAAAGTCCCTTAAAGGGTCTTGCTGACATAGAGTGTCACAGCAGGGGTCTATGTACTGTATTTTAGCTCACTGAAGATGATTTGCATGCATATCAGTTTTTGTAACATATCTCTCTTATTAGAGACAACTCGGCTTGTCCTCGGTGGAGGCTTTATCTCTGCTGCACACTCAGCTGTTGTCTGTCCTACAACAACACAGAGAGAGCTGTATAAAAGATGGCCACTGGAAGGCAAGTGGGCTTGCTTGCAATTTGTAATGCATGTCTGTGTTTAAAAATAAAGGCTCCAAAAGACGTTTTACAACCTGATACCATCACAGAAGGTCTTTTGTTAGAAGGTGACCTTTTGGTATGGTGTTGTTCAGGCAGCATGGAGCAGATGTTTTCTGCATCACTCTGTGCGTTGGTCCAGTCTTCACTGGTCAGGGGTTTTACTGACAACCCTGTGTGCAACAAGTCTGATCACCTGCCATGTGTTTGAACCAAACAGGTAACATCAATTAATATATTATAAATATGTGCATGAAATATTTTTTTTTCCATTGAAAAGGTTGGTGCATGATAAATATACCTGCCCCGAAGCGCCTCCCAAAAAATATTGTGTTATCAGCCAAAAAAAATGCTTTGTGCACCTTAAACACTGCATTATCATCTGTCATTAGCATAAAGTCTGAAATGTTACATAAGTTATCTTCTTGTATGGTTGTCATAGTGACAGCACAGCTTTGATTGGCGGATGCACAGTGTTGCTTCTTCTTCTGACTGGGCTGATTGCCATGACAGTCCTCCAGTGGCTGAAGAGAGAGGAGATGCCCCGCAGAGTGGAGACTTTACTGAACACTTTACAGGGTTAGTCACCCTACTGAGCAAACATCCCCACTGCATCATTCGTTTGAATCATCCGCTATTCTAGTTTAACCTTGTGCAAGACTAAGCATGCTCATCTACTTTCCTGCCAGAAAATAAATTGTATTGCCTAGAGTTTGCTATTAGATGGTTTGAAGGCTTAATTGTGTATGTATCTTAGTTACCTTTCATTAAAAAAATTTAGTTTGCTCCAAACTGCAAATGTCTCAGAAGCAGTACTAACACAAGTCCATTTGCTCTCATTTATTCTCATTTAAATCTAGAAGAAATAATTTACAGGACACCTATTACGCCCCTTTTAACAAGATGTAATATAATTCTCAGGTGTCCCCAGAATGTGTCTGTGAAGTTTCAGCTCAAAATACCCCACAGATCATTTATTATGTCATTTTGAAAGTACCTATTTGATTTTAAGTGGAAGCAGAAATATGCTATTTTCGTGCATGTCTCTTTAAATGCAAATGAGCTGCTGCTCCCTTTTCCAGCAGGGCTGTGCCTTTACAGCTCTTACTTTAGATATTCTGCCAAAAAACATCTGTTTGGTTTTGATTAGCATGTATATTGCGCTGAAAACATGCGTTTTAAACCAATATCAGCTTAAACTTCTTCTGATATATTGTTTTCTGGGCGCACACATCCAAAGCACGTGCACAAAAAGCGGCTGTTACACGGCATGTGAGTATTAAACTAAGTTCTCTTTCATGTCTTACTGCACTTAAACTATCAAATACACACAAGTTTATGTTAAAAACACACATAAGTTACAAAAACACAGTCGGTTATAACTGGTATATCAAGTATTAAGTGACAGCAGCATAATATACACTACCTATACTGCTGTCTACGCTGTTAATATGACCCAAACAATAAAATAAAAGCAGAAAATCACTCGCTCTGTACTGAATAATATCTATAGCTTTAATAAGAAGACATTTCTTACTTGAATGCTGCTTTTAAATGCTCTAGCTGAAGATAAACATGGCGGATTGTGTTCGACTCACTCAGGGTGGGGTCTCTGGTCAACAGTCGTGGGCGGGGCTTGTGCAAAGTGACGTCACATTTTACAGATTCTGCAAATGGCTTGTTCTGAGACACTGTTTATGATTTATGGGGGTTAGAAAAAAAGGAGCAGGTGGATTTTTATCATTATAGGGTGGTTGTGTACACACACTGCCAACACATTTATGTTCAAACAACATGTATAAATGAATTTTGCATAATAGGTACCCTTTAATTTAAAGAGATCTGGAAAATTAGTGGTGTGTTTGAGCATGGTTGATCTAAACTCTGCAGGAATCTAGATTTTTAAGTTCTTGATTTCACTTTCACTTCATTATTTATACAAATTATATAAAGATTTCAGCGTCAAACAGTGGCATAGCGGTTAGTAAAATAGCGCATCTGTTAGTAAAATTTCTCGGTAGAGTTTAGTGTGGCTAGTTTTTTTTTTTTTTTTTAATATGCTTTTAAATCTAGTTAACTTTTCATTTTTTAATTGACAAATGCTACAATGTTGTCTCATATGTGACAATATTTCATTTGAGTATCCGTATTTTCTGTCACTTGTTTGGAATCATAGCAATAACTATCCATGCTCGATTCGTGAAGTAACCATTTTTTTGAGTCGGTTTCTTTCAATTATTCAAATGGCGTTATCAAGATTCACGGCCGCATTCTATCATACTACTCTTAATAATTTAAAAATATCTTTTTTATGGTAGTAATTGTAAGAGTAGTAGCCTATGCTAGTATGTGGTTCCGCATTCTGAAGTCCAACATACATATTACTCAAGCTGTTTTCTGTGAATGTGCAAGACTTCTGCTTCATTAGCCACAGTAGGGAAATAACGAGAAGAGCTAGTGCAATAAATGGTAAAATTTTTGTGTTACAACCAGTGTGTTCATAATTAAGACAATACATTTAAAATAATATGGTAAGAAACACCAGTTTTCAATATCAAGCAGCAAAACAAGCTGTTTTGTACAGCTATAAAATAGCTGGAAGCAGATGACACATTAAATTTACAAATGCTCATGCCCGCTCTTACGGGAAAGTGGATACTTGGCACAGAGAGAACAGGGAAGTACCTTGCAATTGCATATACACGCAGCCATTATTTTTTTTAATTATTCTAATAATTAATTAAATGTAAATAGCATAGTTATTTCATGTGTTTAATTATTTGTATAATAAATACATTTGAATTGTTTTGGAGATATTTTAACACATATTAGGTCCAAATACAGCTTTCTATTCATATTTTTTTTTTATTTATAAAAAAGTAGCTTAAACGTAGTAGAAAGCTACTTTTGTCATCAATCGTTTTTTTTTACCCTGTAGAGTAGTTGTTAGCTTATGCTAGCATTCTTTAAATACCTTGCCAAGAAAAATAACTAAACTTTTTGAATGCATCACAGAGTTCTTGAAGCATCCTTCCTCTGATTGGCTAAGAGGCACAGAGGACTTGTTCACCCCTAGTAGAAAGCTACTTTTGTCATCAATCGTTTTTTTTTTTACCCTGTAGAGTAGTTGTTAGCTTATGCTAGCATTTTTTAAATACCTTGCCAAGAAAAATAACTAAACTTTTTTAATGCATCACAGAGTTCTTGAAGCATCCTTCCTCTGATTGGCTAAGAGGCACAGAGGACTTGTTCACCCCACCCTGCCCAGCCGTTTCACGACAATGGACCTATCGTGACGGGAAACTGGTCAATCTACCTGTCAGTCTCCTGGTGGAGGGTGATATCATCTCTTTACGCAGTGAAGCGCCAACTGAACTAAGAGGAATTCAGGTTAGAATACATGAGAAACTAAAATGAATAGTTCACCTAAAAGTGACAAAAAAAATCATATGATTTTCTTCCGTAGCACACAATGAGATTGGGCAAATAACAGAATTTAAATTTTGTGTGAAACATTATTATAAATAAATACGTCTATGCAAATACAGTTTGCTTACAATACACCCAAGGCAGCACTTTGTGTCTTTTATACCATTTTCAACAGATGAATGTAATTTTTTTCCCTAATTGTCTGATTGGAACTAAATTACCTTTTCTTTGTACAGAAGCATAACACGAGACCTCTGACTAAGATGTGATTTTTTTTTTCTCTCCCTGGTTTATGAGGACAGGAAGAAGAGCATGTTGTTTTATCCCGCAGTGATGTGTTTAGTCGTCTCTCCTCTCCCCCTTCGCCATTGGATAGTGGAAGGCCCCGCCCACATCGTTTGCTCCAACCACAGCTCTTCAGGGTAACAAAGACTCCAGCGGCTGAGGTGGTTCAGTATGTTCATTTATTTATTTATTTTCCCCCTTTGAATAATATTTAATATTTCATGTAGTTCTCAATTATATTTTATGGAAGTATCAGATGTTTCTCCTAAAGTACAAGTGAAAGGGAAAGGGTTTCAGCTAACAAGTGCCATTGTGTTCCATTGGTGTTCTTGTACTCACTTTTGAATAAGAGTTTTTTGATGTTAGCTCATCTATCAGACACAAAACAGAGATCATAGAGAGGGACTTAAGAGCTTAAGGACTGCATTCAATATGATATCTCATCATTACACCACCGTCACTGGATCATCTTGTAACAACATGATTTTTATCGTAGAACATGAAAATTATCATAGACAATGGCAAAGCATATCCTATGCACTCGAACTCCTAAACTACAGCCCCCGGATTTATGGAAAAAAGCCCAGAATTTGACGTCATCTCTTTTATATGGATCTTTTTTATGTAGGAGGTGTTTGGAGCTTTCTCAAGACAGACCTGTGTCTGTTCTGGATAATGAACAATTTACTGTGCAAAGTTTACTAGAAAGAGGCCCAGCGCCTTTTGTGCTGGTAAGACTTGTTTTTTATGATCTTTTCACATTTTGACAGATGCACTTGACCGATTTTTTTTTTTATAAGAAGTGACTAACATTGCGTTCAAAGTTGTAGTATGTGTGAATTTCCATATGCTACTCTTCCTAAAAAAACAAGGTACTGTTATACCATGGTACCTTTTGGTATTTCTTTTTGGCTAGTGGTAATAGATGTAATGGATTGCAATAGCTTTTTCACTGCCTATGAAAATGAAAAATATTTAAATAAATAACTTTAAGAACTGTATGCTATGGTTCTTTTTGTCCCTGGAATATGCATTTGTTTCCTGTTTGGTCAGTCATCCTTCATCAAATCTTTCTGACCTTCATTTTCCAGGTGCTGCTTCTGGTGCTGAATCTGTTGCGTATTTTGTTTGGCGCTCCTTAAGAGCTTAAGGACTGCATTCAATATGATATCATCATTACACCACCGTCACTGGATCAGCTTGTAACAACATGATTTTTATCGTAGAACATGAAAATTATCATAGACAATGGCAAAGCATATCCTATGCACTCGAACTCCTAAACTACAGCCCCCGGATTTATGGAAAAAAGCCCAGAATTTGACGTCATCTCTTTTATATGGATCTTTTTTATGTAGGAGGTGTTTGGAGCTTTCTCAAGACAGACCTGTGTCTGTTCTGGATAATGAACAATTTACTGTGCAAAGTTTACTAGAAAGAGGCCCAGCGCCTTTTGTGCTGGTAAGACTTGTTTTTTATGATCTTTTCACATTTTGACAGATGCACTTGACCGATTTTTTTTTTTATAAGAAGTGACTAACATTGCGTTCAAAGTTGTAGTATGTGTGAATTTCCATATGCTACTCTTCCTAAAAAAACAAGGTACTGTTATACCATGGTACCTTTTGGTATTTCTTTTTGGCTAGTGGTAATAGATGTAATGGATTGCAATAGCTTTTTCACTGCCTATGAAAATGAAAAATATTTAAATAAATAACTTTAAGAACTGTATGCTATGGTTCTTTTTGTCCCTGGAATATGCATTTGTTTCCTGTTTGGTCAGTCATCCTTCATCAAATCTTTCTGACCTTCATTTTCCAGGTGCTGCTTCTGGTGCTGAATCTGTTGCGTATTTTGTTTGGCGCTCCTGGTGTGGGACCGTGGCCTGTCACACTCCTGCAGCTACCTGTAGGATATCCAAAAACAGTCATACACAAATTCACACACACTCACAAACACTGAAAAACACTTGCAAATACTAGACATATATTGGTGATAGTGTATATTGGAGACATATCAAAATCACAAATAAAAAATTGCTGGAAATGTACTCACCCTCAGGCCATCCAAAATGTAGGTGAGTTTGTTTTTTCATCGGAACAGATTTGGAGAAATGTAGCATTACATCACTTGCTCACCAGTGGATCCTCTGCAGTGAATGGGTGCGGTCAGAATGAGAGTTTAAAGAGCTGATAAAAACAACACAATAATCCACAAGTACTTGTACTTACTTGTGGATTATTATGTTTTTATCACCTGTTTGAGCACTAACTAGTTATCTCTTTGTTAAGCTGTGCATTATATTTTTTGATGCCTTTTTCACAGAAATGAAATTGAACTTTATGCAAACTGTAGTTTTTATTGAAAAATAAAATCTTAACTGTGTATATTTAAAAATATTGACCAAAACATATAAATGCATCCGTAGTAAATACATGAAATGTTGTGTTTCAGGTGAATGGTGTTTTGCCTTTGTTGCCCCTGACTTTCCCCCTGCTTTGGGTTCCTGTGTGCATGTACGGAGAGGCCCGTGTTCTTTTACAGATGGGCTCACAGCCAGCGGACTGGTGGGTATGTTCAATAAAGAGGAAACCACACAATAGCTGCCTGTATATTTATTGCTTACAACTGTAACCATGTGAATGGATGTATTGTTGGTAATGATTTGGAATGCCAAAATGATTTCCCCATTTCATTGAACAGGAAATGTGGAAGTTGGCCTGCAAGAAATGTTACTCAGTGTTCTGGGGTCAAACATCGACACTCTGCCACACTGCTAGTTTGCTACACAGTCTGGGATCTGTAACTGTAAGTTCAAAAGACATCAGGCACAAAAAGACTTAAGGCACAATTAAATATATGCATGTCATTGCATTCAGTAATCAACTGGCATCTGCAAACAAATCGTCTTTACAACAATTGCCACTTGTTTTTATATTGTATCTAATGCAATGACATTCATGCATTTTTATGTGTGTGTATTCGGTTTGAATTATAGCTTACCCGCTGTACAGTACATTGCATTATGTTTCTCTGTGCTACACACGCTGAGTGATGCTGTGGCAGTAAATGTTATTTTATCTCTCTCACGGTAATTCAGTACTGTAATAAGAGCTTTTGAGTGTGTTCCAGAATGCAGTTTGTCACAGTATCAGTATGCAAGAATATTTATGAACTAATGTGAACTTTGTTTACTCTGCACTTCTTATGACTACATTTCTGAAAATGTCTTCATAAATATAACAAAATGTCTTGATATATCTCAAGATATCTAAATGGGCCACAGGATATCTTACAATCTAAAAAAAGCAACAAGATATTTGTAAAAAGTACCATGGCAGAAACGAGTATCAGAAGGTAAAACCATAGTACTGAATGATTATAGTACCATACTCGTATTCACAGCAGGGATCATATGGTTTTGGTCAATATTAGATATTTTGCTATGTATTTTATTGGTCTATTGAATATTTAATTGTGGATGCTATTTTAGATTATCTTTGTCATAATCTAATTTAATCAAAACACTAGTAATTTCACAATTTCACACAATACAATAATTTAATAATCAAAATGAATTGCATAAGAATTGCAAAGTTTTAATTGCATAACTAAATTACACAAAAGCTTTAATTGTAATAATGGTCATCACATTAGATAAAATTATTGTCTTAGTGGTATTGGACACAATTTTAATCATTTTTTTCACTGTATTTGCATGGCACTCCAATGTATTAAAAAAATACTGTGGTATTACCTTGATGCATTTTTGTAAATGCAGTGTTGGGGTTTAGGATTGTAATAATGATAATGTTGATATTTATAACAGAGGTTCCCAGACTTTTTTATACAAAGGGCCAAAACCTGATTGAGGGCCGTGGGCCAAAAGTAAATGTTGCAATATATCTAGTGATATTATATTATGTATTAAATAGAAAAAATGTATTGAAACCAAATTTAATTAACATTTTTCAATTATTTTTAATCAAATTCACTTATATTGTTTTTGTATATTTCAATGCCAAAACAAAACTTTTTTTTTTTTAACTGTAAATTCAATATGAAGATATGCTTCAATGGCTTGTTTTTCCTTCCACTTGTGATATAGCATGGCGGGCCAAATTTAATGTTATTCACTGACCAACTTTGGTTTGGGCATCTCTGATTTATAATGATATTTATGTTGCATTTAATATTTATTAAGAATAATAAAAGTCACAAATTGTTTGTATGTGTGTGTTTGGTTGTGTATATGTATTCCAGGTCCTGTGTTGTGTTGATAAGCAGGGCATTCTCTCATGGCCCAGTCCAAACCCTGAGAAGATTCTGTTCTTTAGCAGGTCCATCTCATCACAAGAGACAGAAAGACAGAGGCAAAAAGAGGCAAAGAGAGAAAGAGACAAAGAAAAAGTCGGCCTGAAGGTAAAAAAAAATGCATATTTTGATTCAGATGGGTCTGCTTTCATGAGTCATAACATCTCACAAGGTCTCATCTGATGTCTTTATTCTCAAGATCCGCTCACTCTGCAGTCTGCAGATGTTAAGTTTGTCGGTGGGTCAGGCTCAGTGCGATGACACACGGGTGCAGTTTGATGACACATGCTGGCAGCGTCACGCCCCCTCTCTTCGGCCTCTGGGATTGGCTGTGCAGTTGGTCCTCTGTGACCCTGGAGTCACCACCCGCATACTCCGCCTCTCTGACCACCTGACCCATGCCGCGCTGGTGCGCACTCGACCCCCGTGTCAGCCAGTCCACCCACCCTGGGGCCTCTGCCATCTACCGAGGATTCTGGGTAAAGCCAGATGAAAGAAATAGTGGTGTTTAATGCTCCAGGGAAATGCACCTTTTGTCAAGGTAGTTTCACAACTGTGAGAAAACAGAAGCATCAACAAAATCTCAGAGGTAGTGTAAAAGTGAAGCCAGATTAAATAGAAAGGGATATAGTGTGTGTATCACTAGCGAAAAAGTATCAGTAGTGTTTCTACATATGTACTATGGTAAAACCATGTTTCTGGACATCAGTAGCAATGTATATTAAGTACCATGGAGTAACATACAGTAAATACCATCATTTACAGAAAGCACTTTCTCGTTTTTTGGACGTCACCATTTTGTAAATGTGCCATGGTAATACCATGGAATATTATGTACACTACTATTTGTTTGGGGTTTTTGAAGGATCGTGTGACTCTGAAGACTGGAGTAATGATGCTAAAAATTCAGCTTTCCCATCACAAAAATAACTTGCATTTTAAAATATACTTAAATAGAAAATAATTATTTTAGATTGTAATAATATTTCAGGTTTTTTTTGCATATTTTACTGTATTTTTTATATTAAGAAAGCTCCAGCTTAAGAGACAAAAACATTAAAATAAAATAAAAAAATAAAATAAAATGTACAGACCCCAAACATCTGAACAGTAGTGTAAATACCAAGATTCATCTCAATGGCGTGGTATATTTCCCATTACATAAAAATACTGGCATGGTATTTTTAATATTTAACATGGTATTTATATAGCATTGCAGGGTTATTTTATTTAAAGAAATATAATGGTAGTATCATGGTTGCTGTTTGATAAATGTCTTGTAACCTGAAGTCTTTCATATTTTCCAAAAATAAATATCCAGCAAAACTGCATTGTAGTGGTGACAGTGTGTGTATATGCAAATCTACAGGCTTCTCCACCTCCGCGAAGGAGCCTTTCGAGCAGAGAATGAGTGTGGCAGCCTACACCCTGCCCTCCATCTCCTGCCCTGGAGACCCGGGGATCATTGCTCCACCTTCTGTGTCAATGAGACGGCTTCCTTTCTCACATCTCATAGCGCTGCTGGTGCACCACACTTACACCGGTGAGCACACGCACATGTATAAATGCATCAACATTCCTGGATGTTTGTGACATTACAACATCACAGCCAATAGTAAACAGTTCATATGTTAGAAACAGTTTGCTAGGATGTTATTTATTGTATACTGTGCATTGTGTACAGAAACAGTATGTGAAAGTATGTAAGGGATAACATACAGCCAACTGGTCATTAGTGGAGGTGTTTTTTTTTATGATAATAATTTGTAGATTATATAGTATCCCACTTATTGCACAACTGCGTACAAAATAAATATGACATGAAATATTTATGTAATTTTTAATATTTCTTGAAATTATTTCTCATAAATGTATAAATTATTGCTATGTGGGAGAAAAGAGACCATGAGACAGGACACATAAAACTAGAACTGATACTATATAGGACAGTATAGTTTAAGTATACTGATTTAAGTTTTAATGATATTTTGAATTAGCTTTTAATTCTATATTAAGATTCTAGTTTTAATTTTTAGTTAAGTATTTAGATTTTTGTGCATTTGTCATTTTTATTGTTATTTAATTATTTATATTTAGGTTTAATTTATTTTTATTATATTTGGTTTTTGTTAATGTACTTATTTCAGTTAGCTGTCAAGACAACCTCATTTTTATTGAGGTTTTATAAGTGTAAATTTCCATCAAGTAAACATTTTAACTCTTGGGAATTGGATAAAATAATCAAGAAACAGATGTTAAAAATTGCAGCTGATATTACTTCCAGGTCAATTGTCACATTACACTATCAAGCTGAGAGCATTGCATTATGGGACATAGTATTCCATGATAGCATGATGCACACTAGGGCCCTGTCCCAAATGGCACACTTCATGTGCACTTTCGGTCTTGAGGACTAACAATGGCCGCTGCGTGCGCGTGTCCGTTAAGTCCACGAGACCGTAGTGTGGCCCATTCGTCATTTTAGCGTTCAGTAGGGTGCTCACGAGCGTCCCCTTCGCGGCTGCTATGTGCACTTCTGCTGAACCCGCAAGCCTGCGAGCTACGCAGCCGACTTCTACCCGGATAAAACGGCATTACGTCACGAAAGTGCGGACTCTGAGGGAGACCGTGAGGGTTTAGGGTGCCATTTGGGACAGGGCCTAGTATGCAGTAAGATGGTATGAGTCATATACAGAGTTCTGGCATGAAACTCTAGATGGCGCAGTTCGATAGGTCTAACTCAATCTGACCTAATGACATCATTATCACATGGCACAGCTGATTGGTTCTCTGCTGTATCGGTAGCCAATGAGCTCGCTGCTCAACATTCAAATATATGACTAGTGCTTGCCGTAGCAGTTGCAGCCTGCTTCAGAAACCCTTCACCATCCCCAGCTCCACCTGTATAGATCTGCTTCGAGGTGATTCATGTATGCTATATGGGGGTTATTTCATGTATGTTATATTTGCAGCAGCAATATTTCTTACATGCTTACAGCAGCATGTTGTGGATGTATTGGCAGTAGCAAGTCTCGGTACTTGCTCTGCCGCAGCAGCAGCGTAGCAGATCTATTCCGCCAAGACCAAATACATTAACATTGTCATGTACATTACCATG